GGAAGTACACCGTACTTCCCCTCACAGCGTCAACGACCAGAGCCAGGCTAGTCGGTTAATCCAGATTACTACTACTAATAATAATGATAATAATAACGATAACATTATAATGATAATTACAATATACTGTAATTAATCATAATTAATGTTATTGTTGTATATATTTAAGAACACTAATTAGAAAATACAAATATATATGAACATAAAAGTATATTTACATATTTTAAGTAATAAAAATACAGAAATGTAGATGAACAACTTTTAACCTGATGTCGCCTGTACCTGTAGCAGGCTGAGAGGAGAGAATTTCTAACATCTGCCCCCTGCTACACCAGTTAGCGGCTACAAACCAGCTGATCCTCTAATGCAGGAAATGCAAACATGTACATGCAGAGGCGGAGCAAGAAGTGGAATGTATGAGGGAGCAGAGCTGCAGTTGCGTCCTCTTTGTCTCTGAAAGAAGATTCAGCCGAGTCCATTAGGTTTTTCTCAGCAACAGTGGTGAGTCACTCTGTTCATCACAGTCACATTGGTTCAATAGAAATGTCCTCATATAGCCACTGATCTACTGTAGAAACATGGAGCTGCTGTTTGAAAGAGTCTCACTGTGGCACTGCTCAGGAGAATAAACCTCTGGGTGTCCACAAGTACCTCCTATCTCATATTCCTAACCTGCTTTCCTTGACCTCAATGAAAACACTGAGGTCAAGGAAAAGTTGTTAGGAGATATGATAAGAACTTAGGAAAAGAGAAGAGCTGTGCACTGAGAACTGCAGAAGACTAGAAAACACTGATCTTACTTAAACACCAGTGTTTTATGGAGGTCATAAAAAACAAACAAAAACCTAAGAAAGAGGCTCAGAGTCAGTTTGAGACTGAAAATTGTGCACAGACGTATTTTTGTAGCTGGCCTTAAACCATATGTGTGTAAGAGTTTCACTTTCAGGAGGACATTTAAATGAGTCATATGAACGGGGCTGGCTCTACACTGATACAAGAGGAGGCAACGCCCCTTAAGTCAAGCTTTTAGAAGTTGAGAAAGAACATTTCACTAGCTGGGCCCACATTATCATTTTAGGTTTGACAGCGTTTTAGTAGTTAAAAGTGAATGCTTTGACATGAATTGAGCTGCGGTTTGGGGAAGACCTCGACGGAGACTGGTGATGGCTCCAGGGCCTGGCAGATCCCCATGTATTAAATAGAAATGAAGAAGTTACAGAATTGAAAACAAGGAGGGAGGGAGGGTGAGGCACGTAAACAACTTGCAGAACTGGAGAACTGGGGGAACCTGATGATATCCGGAAGGAGACGTTAGTGTGCTGCCCAACTTGCATCACGCACATATTTATTATTTTATGGTCCTAAGTGTGAGTGCATACACTCATAAAATGTTTAGTAACTTCAGATCCCTGCAACAAGCCCTGGTCCGGTTTACTTTGGTGATTTGGACTATTCCATTTCACAGCTGTTGTTAATTTTTTTTCTTTATCTCCTGTACAGGCCAACGCAATCTATTTGTCTTTTCAGGTTGTAGTGTTACACAACATTTTCAGATCCAATAGAAATAAAATAAGTGTTTCGTAATTCATTCAATTTGTTGTCTTGATTTATAACTGGCATAATTGTTTCATTCTATTATAGAATCTTACAAGAAAGAGGCAAAATTATATTCCATTATGCTTTATTAGCTGCTTCGGTGAAAAACAAATCAACAATGCAAACAAAACAAAAAAAACATATCAAAACAACATACTGGAAAACAGTTATTCATCACTTGATTGCTTCAATACAACACTTAAACACATATATGCGGGCCTTTTTGTGGCTGTTTTGATCTCACTCTCTCTCATAACCGAGCAAATCTCGCTGTGGTAGCAGGCTTAAACTCGGTATGACCCAGGTTGATAGAGGGGGCCCAGTCTGGATC